AAAAACCAGAGGCTGCTTTCTGACCCTTTCTTCGACATGGCCGAGTGTGTGTCTAAGTGTGTGTGTGTGTGTGTGTGTGTGAGAGAGAGAGAGTGTGTGAGAGAGTGTGTGTGTGAGAGTGTGTGAGAGAGTGTGTGTGAGAGAGTGTGTGTGTGAGAGTGTGTGTGAGAATTGCGACTGTGTGAGAGTGTGTGAGTTGTGAGAGTGTGTGTGTGTGAGTTGTGTGTGAGAGTATGTAAGTCTGTGTGAGAGTTGTGTGTGAGTGTGAGAGTGTGTGAGGTGTATGTGTGAGAATTGTGTGTGAGAGTGTGTGAAAGTGTGTGTGTGTGAGAGTTGTGTGCATGTGAGAGTGTATGTGTGTGAGAGTTGTGAGAGTGTGAGAGTGTGTGTGAGAGTTGTATGTGTGAGTGTGTGTGTGAGTTGTGTGTGAGTGTTGTGTAAGTGTGTGTGAGAGTTGTGTGTGTGAGAGTGTGTGTGAGTGTGAGAGTGTGTGTGAGAGTTGTGTGTGTGTGAGAGTGTGGGTGAGAGTTGTGTGTGTGTGTGTGAGATTGAATGTGTGTGACAGTGTGTGTGAAAGTGTTGTGTAAATGTGTGTGAGAGTTGTGTGTTTGTGAGTGTGTGTGTGAGTGTGAGAGTGTGGGTGAGAGTTGTGTGTGTGAGTGTGTGAGATTGAATGTGTGTGACAGTGTGAGAGTTGTGTGTGAGAGTGAATGTGTGTGACAGTGTGTGTGAGAGTGTGGGTGAGAGTTGTGTGTGAGAGTATGTGTGAGTGTTGTGTAAGTGTGTGTGTGAGTTGTGTGTTTGTGAGTGTGTGTGAGTATGAGAATGTGGGTGAGAGTTGTGTGTGTGAGAGTGTGTGTGAGTGTGTGAGATTGAATGTGACTGTGTGTGTGAGAGTTGTGTGTGACTGTGTGTGAGTGTGTGTGAGAGTGAATGTGTGTGACAGTGTATGTGTGTGACAGTGTGTGTGAGAGTGTGAGAATGAGTGTGTGAGTGTGTGCGAGTGTGACAGTGTGTGAGAGTGAGTGTGTGAGAGTGAGTGTGAGTGTGAGAGTGTGTGAGAGTGTGTAGGAGTGTGAGAGTGTGTGTGAGTGTGTGAGAGAGTGTGTGCGAGTCTGAGAGTGTGTGAGTGTGTGAGAATGAGTGTGTGTGTGAGAGTGTGTGAGAATGAGTGTGTGTGTGAGAGTGTGTGAGTGTGTGAGAGTGTGCGAGTGTGAGAGTGTGTGAGAGTGTGTGAGTGTGTGTGTGTGAGAGTGTGTGTGAGAGTGTGTGCGAGTGTGAGAGTGTGTGAGTGTGTGAGAGTGTGTGCGAGTGTGTGTGTGAGAGTGTGTGCGAGTGTGAGTGAGTGTGAGTGAGTGTGTGAGTGTGTGTGAGAGTGTGTGCGAGTGTGAGAGTGTGTGAGAGTGTGAGAGTGTGTGCGAGTGTGTGAGAGTGTGAGAGTGTGTGAGAGTGTGTGTGAGCGAGTGTGAGAGTGTGTGCGAGTGTTCGAGTGTGTGTGAGTGTGTGAGAGTGTG